CAATCAATTATCTTCAAAACGGTACAAAAATCGTTGTGACTCACATAGTAGATACGTACAGTAGAGCGCTTCGAAAATAGATTTTTCATATGTTTTACTATGTGATCGACAAAAATTACGTAGACTTTTGTCCAGTGAGTGTATGAACATTGGATTTTTTGTTGTTATGTTATTGACGACGAAAATTGATTTCGCGCGTTCGAAGGTCAAGCCAACCATTCAAATCGTACTTAATATTCTGTATCAATTTTTTGCACACACATTGTCAATAATAAACATGTAAATTATATGAGCATTGGAGTCTTGGTTGCTATGTTATTAGTAATGATTAACGACGAAAATTGATTTCGCGCGTTCGAAGGATCAAGCCAGCCGTTCGTTCATATTCAAATCGTACCTAATATTCTATGTCAATTTTTGCACACACATTGTCAATAGTTACCTTTAACAAACATGTAAATTATATGAGCATTGGATTCTTGGTTGCTATGTTATTAATGATTAACGACGAAAATTGATTTCGCGCTCAAGCCAGCCGTTCATGCATATTCAAATCGTACTTAATATTCTGTGTCAATTTTTTGCACACACATTGGTAACAGTTACCGTTAACAAGTATGTGAATTTCATGAGCATTGGATTCTTGGTTGTTGAGTTATTCGCGATTGACGACGAAAATTGATTTCGCGCTCAAGCCAGCCGTTCGTGCATATTCAAATCGTACCTAATATTCTGTGTCAATTTTTTGCACACACATTGTCAATGGATACTATTAACATGTACGTGAATTTCATGAGTATTGAATCCTTGGTTGTTGGGTTATTCGCGATTGACGACGAAAATTGATTTCGCGCGTTCTAAGGATCAAGCCAGCCGTTCGTGCATATTCAAATCGTACCTAATATTCTGTGTCAATTTTTTGCACACACATTGTCAATAGATACTATTAACATGTACGTGAATTTCATGAGTATTGAAACCTTGGTTGTTGGGTTATTAACGATTGTGACGAAATTTGATTTTACGTGTTCGAAGAATCGAGCGAGTCGTTATAATACGCATTATATCCCATATATCATTACATCCCAATTTCTCAATACACTATCATAATATGAAGGTAATAAATGAAAAAGGTTAGTCAGACACACATTTCTTCATGACTCTTCATGACTATAATGTAACTTGTTCTCGCAAGGTACTGCAATGAAAAGCTTACATGGTAATGTAACCGTTATATATTACTGACAGCCAAGACAGTTGGTACCTGTATAAACTCTCGGTAATAGTAGCAAACTGTATTCAAAACATATAAGAGTGTCTTTAGTGGCCTGCTAACAGAATATAGTCTCAGATTCGCATTATGCTCTCGCTTTACCTATATACGTATATATACGTACTACTTACGAAATCTTCCTTCCCTCTTTTCTCGAAAATGGTTGCTGTAATAAACAAAGTGATAATAATTAAAAAGTTGTTTAAAGTCGGAACTATTCAGAGTTTAGTTCTCTCTTGCTTATCTCCAAAAACTGTAAAAGAAACTGGAAAAACGCTCTCAAAAGACGCTTTGCATGAGCTTTTATTGCTTGAGACAGAAAACACTTACGAAGATATTTAAAGCTCCTGCGTATAGTCCAGAGCCGACAGTAAGTTTTCTTTATAAGGTGAAAAGCTAGTTGCTAATAGCATGTGCTGTTATTGCTCGTTTGAACGGAATGGTTCGACGTTACACAGACATTTGATCATAGGAGATCACGAAAAGCTAGTTTCTCTCCACCCCTTTTATTTTCTAAATAAGGACAATCAGGAAATACTAATTTTTCAAAATAATCATGAACAAAAGTCAAGTCATACCTAAAAGATGAGATGATTCATCCAAGAAGATTGCTATCTTGCCAGTCTCAGTTCCTGAAGAAAATTGCTCCTGCAGCTCTGATAAAGAAATATTTTCCTTGACAGTACTAACTCTATTCCAGAATTCATTTGCCTTTGTCTTTAAATATAAAACAAAGTCAGTTATCAGTCACAGATCATGTCTTGTAATCCCTTCCTAAAGAATTAAATCACATTACTATTACCTCATCACTCAATAACTCATGAGATCTCTTTTCCAGATGCATATCACGAAATACCCATATCATTGACTCAAGCCATTGTGACGCTATTTCCTCTGCATCATCTATTTCCTCTGCATTTTCTATCTCTAAGAGTATCTCACTGCTTTTTGGAGTCTTTGGTGGATAGCCAGTTGAATCCACTTGACGCAGACAAACATATATGAGAGGTCGTGCTGTTGCAAGCTGAATGATTGCCCTCGTCTTGCCATAACCAGATGATTGAACAATTGGGAGGTAGTTGTAATAGCCTTCTTCATTAGCGACCTTGTTTAGTTGCACATTTATGGCAGACAAGAAATTGTCACTGTCCTGAAACTCGGTTTGAAAAGCCAAGTGCAACACTAGAGCAAAACAATTTGTTATCATCATCGGCTATAAGGAAAAGCACAAGTGAAAGCATTATACAAACCTTCCTTTGTAAAGGCCGCATCAGTTGACGCTACCGGTCAGTTGAATATGAGTGAGCAGAAAAAGTACCAGAATCAAATTTCAATTAACAAAGATAGATTGAATATAGACCTACCAGAAGAGGGCTCGGCTATAAGAAATAACATTTTACCAACGGAAAAAATGGCAAACGCAAGTTAATGGACATTACAGAAATGATTAATAACATCTCTTAAATGAATGAATGAATGAAAATAGTCATAGTTGTCGCAACGGTATTCCACATGCGGTGGTATAATAATAACATTTACTATGCTCTATTATATACGCGCGTGTTGTAATGCATTCCAAATATCCTCCCTCCGTTGCTTCTATTCTATTTAACCCAAACGTGTCGTATCTTGCTTATATGCCTTTCAAACGAGTTTACGTATAACCTAACCTTTGCTACGACTCTGCTCTATGTCCCAACCCAACGCATGTCATAATGCATTTCAACTATCCTCCCGTATTCATTGCTTGCTTACCTTGTTTGGATTCATTGTACTTTTGAATAGCTTCTTCTTTAGTGACACCATAGTCATTCATATATTGAAGAACAAAGCTGACAAGCTCAAGTTGGTCCATGTTGAGTTATGAGAAGAAAAGAACGTGTAGCTGTGCGCGTTTATATCTTGCTGCGCTCCATAGCATATCAGGTTGTGTGATTGATGTTTGACGTAACGTATTTACTACATGTGTAATGTGATCATTCCTGCCTATGATTCTTATTTCGTCGTACGACTAGTACGAATACCTACATTCTTTGTTTGATAGAACGTTGTCTCTAATTGTCACACAAAATAAATTAGCGATTGTTATACTACAACAAAGACGCTCAAGGTGTGTTTTATGTGTTTGAATAATCTTTGTTTATCGTCAAAAGAAAAAGGATTCAGAGGTAAATCAAACGGTTTTTGTCTAGACTTTTAACAAATCGACCTACCTTTTATGAGCGCATGAGATTACATATATAAACGAGACGGTCAGAATCTCCCTCCTTCATACCTAACAATCAATTTAAATTGAACAAGTGCAAACGCATCAAATCAGATTGTCCCCTGTGATTGATGTTTTAAACCCGCATACACCCTTTGTTATTGCATACTTTTGGAAAGTGAACGATTCAGCAGTATGAATTTATTTTGACATGAACAATATGCTACAGTCTATTTTTTTAACGACACTACAATGTAAAGCCGGCCAGGATAATACATAGATAGAAGCGTAGGGGCGGAGACGAAGAGGGAGGAATAAAGTATGAAAACATGCCTGCCGGATCCTAGGCCTTTTACATAGTAAAAATGGCAGTTCCTTTCCCCGCCCCATACTGGCTATCATTATTATCGCCATTACCATCATTGCTGCTGAATATATTACTACTACCCGAAAAGTTATTTTTACTCCTGTTAACGATAAGGAAATTGGATGCAGAATCTTCCTCGCTTTGTGAGTCTGTTTTCTGATTTCTTTCTTAATCCAAGATCGGATTTTATATAGTGAGACACGCCGTGGACATTTTTGGTGCCGGTAAAAGGAGGCAAGTGTGGCAGGGCTGAGGCCGATTTCTCTTGATAAAACATTGTACATTTTCGTGAGCGAACATTGCTCTGTTTTTCTTCTTTCGTTAAATAAAGAGGTAAATTCGACCCAAAGAGTTTCTATTTCACTAGAATATTCAGATCTGTAGCTTTGTGCAGATTCTCGCCCTAATTAGTGGAACTATACGTTAGCGCGAGTTAGTTTACACGTTTCGTTTGCCATTGTTCCACAAACCTCTACTTCGGACATCATTTTTCCATTTCGCTTCAGTGCGCATTCGTGTAATTTCATTGTTGAGGATTAAAATAGCTGCCTCCAACTGTTTTATTGTTTTTAGTAGATAAATATTTTTAGAGACAATAGAAAGAAGCATCTCCGTCGATACGATGCCCCTGGTTATATAATTCGTAAATCACAATTACGGTGGAAATCGTAAATGAAAATTTATCGGAAATATTGAGGCATTTTGCAGTTGATATGTCTTTAACTGTTAGTTTGATTTTTGAGCGAACGCTTTGATAATGATTTTTCTTACCCAAATTGCCGCAACTTTGCCCTATTTTTATATGTCAAAATTTGTCATTAGCGAGCTTATAGCATTGGTTCTTTGGATTTAGTTCAAATCGAGGTAATGAATCACCAGTATAACGAGTTCATACTACTACAAATAATAACTGACTTTAGATTTAATAAATTATCGGCGATTATTAATAGCGATAGGTGATTCTTGACCCTGTAAAAAATATTAAAATACAAAGCATATGAAACAGTTTGGAAGATTGCACTTTTGGAGATAAGGACACATCCAATCTCACGAGGGCGCACCTCGCCTCACAAGGAGACACCCTGCACCAAGATTATAATCTTAAACTTTTATTCGCTAAAATGCAATCAGACACGAAAATCAACCTGGAATTAGCCTAAATATTAGACTAATATACGAACGAGGATGCACCTCACCCACTAAGCACACAGCTTGCCTACAAGCACACAGCTTGCCTACAAGCACACAGCCTGCGTAGATTGTCGGTCCTCAAACTATTTCTTTTTCTTACATAAAAAACAGTATCACCTTTAATTGAGCCTCCAACTGTGAAAGGTGCATTTGTGCTGGATGTTCGTCTGCAAACAGCTTTCGCAAAACATTTATTTCCCTCTTAAACGAATTATGAACACGATCTTTGTTAACATCACGTAGATGATTAGAAAATTCGTTGAGGCCTGGCCATTTGGTATAGTGACAATTCCAAAGTTCTACCAAAATATGAAAAATGAAGACATACAGTATACTTTACAAACAAGAGGATCTTACTAATAAATGATATATTTGCAAATCTTTACCATAATAACGGAGGAGCCCAGAGGCAATCTCAGGCAAGTGAGCGTCAACTTCTTCAGAAATCGATATAGGATCATGAGTCTTTTCAATAGCTTTGGCAATTTGTAAATCATGTTCAGTGTTAACGAGATCATGAGATTGTTTATTGATACGGGTAGCTTCGGGTAAATCATTTTCGGGCAAGTGAGTGCCAACTGAATTTTCTTCAGAAGTCGAGATAGGATTATGAGGGAGTTCGTTAATACGCGTCTTTTCAAAATCTTCAGAAGTTTCTGGTTCCTGGAGAGATGCCGGTACTAGAGATGGGGATGTAAGACAATAAGTTATTTGGAGAAAATACGGCCGTGAACTTACCTTGTACTTCACCGTTAAGTGCCTTGATCAAAAGTGCTATGGTTCCGGCTGGTCCGCCGAGAAGGTTATATGGAGGGGTTATCTTCTGTCAAGGAAATGAAAACTTGACCGGCGACCTTATTTTTCTCAATAATCTTATATCTTCGTCATCCAGATCCATCTCATCCTGCTTGGACTTCAAATATTTAAGAACGTCTGACCGCTTCCACCTCTTAGCGACCTCAGCTGACGGATTAGTGATGGACATAATTATTTGTTATTTATGAAAAGAAAATTTTTGTAGATAACAAATGACTCACGATCATATGATACAAACCACGAGTTCACATAATTACATTTATTTCGGCCGAATTTAGATAAAAAAATATATTATTGACCAATTAACTTTGCTTGATGCATTTTATATCTCATGACTAATTTCTTTACTAAATTACTATCTGATCTATAAAAAATCGAAGAACATGTTCTTTAATGATATTTACAGCTCGAATCTTTTTTTGCTGTTTCTCTTGCATGCTTAATCTTCTTGATAGCATTCTGTTTCCACAACTCATATCTGTGTAATGCATACTCATTATCGAAATCATATCTTGAAATGGATTTTTGCTCGATTTTCAGTAAGTATTCATTATATTTTACTCCACAATATGCATTTCCCATACAATGAGAAGCCCAATGTTTTTCCATTCCTATGTGGTTATAATTTCCAATATTCTTGGTTCGTTTTCCGGTATATACCAATTGATCGCAAGAGAAGCAGATAGCAATTCCAATCTCAGGCGCATAGCTATAATAAAATCCATTAACCTCAGCGGGAATCATGGTATGGGGTTGTTTTTGTAGGGATAGAATAGGTCCGCTAGTGTTACTTGAGGGGAGTGTTAC